TAGAATCCCAGCACTTTGGGAGGCCAAGATGGGTGAATCACCTGAGGTCAGGTATTTGAGACCAGCCTGGCCAACATGTTAAAACCCCGTCTCTACTAAAAATGCAAAAATTATCCAAGCGTTGTGGTGCAGGCCTGTAATCCCAGCTACTGGAGAGGCTGAGGCAGGGCAAATCACTTGAACTCAGGATGCAAAGGTTGCAGTGAACTGAGATAGCACCACCGCACTCCAGCCTGGGCAACAGAGCAAGATTCTGTAAAGAAAAAAAAAAAACAAAAAAACAAAAAACAAAAAATGGCCAGGTACAGTGGCTCAGGCCCATAATCCCAGCACTTTGGGAGGCCAAGGTGGGCAGATCACTTCAGGTCAGGAGTCCAAGACCAGCCTGGCCAACATGGTGAAACCCTGAAACTCCATCTCTACTAAAAGTACAAAAAATTAGCTGTGCACGATGGTGTTCGCCTGTAATCCCAGCTACACAGCAGGCCAAGATGGGAGAATCACTTGAACCAGGAAGGTAAAGGTTGCTGTGAGCCGATATCTCACCACTGCACTCCAACCTGGGCAACAGAGCAAGACTCCACCTCAAAAAAGAGAAGGAAAGAAAGGAAAGAGAGGAAAAGAAAAAGAAGAAGGAAGAAAGAAAGGAAAGAAAGAAGAAGAAAGAAAGAAAGAAAGAAGAGAGAGAGAGAAGAGAGAGAAAGAAAGAAAGAAAGAAAGAAAGAAAGAAAGAAAGAAAGAAAGAAAGAAAGAAAGAAAGAAAGAAAGAAAGAAAGTCAAATACTGCATGTTCTCCCTTACAATTGGGAGCTAAATAACATGTACACATGGACATAGAGACTGGAATAACTGACACTGGAGACTCAAAAATGTGGGAGGTGGGAGGGGAGTGAGGGATGAGAAAGTATCTATTGGGTGTGACGTACACTATTTGGGTGATGACTGCACTAAAAGCTCAGGCTTCACCACTTCCTAACATTTCCATGTAACAAACCTGCGCTTGTATGCTCTAAAATCTAATTTAAAAATAAGTAAATATAAACTCCATTTTTTCCACTATATTCAGTATTGTCTCCTGTCCTCATGAGTGTATTTGTGAATGGATCTTCTATGATATTGGAGACAGGGAGAGGTCAGTGTAGGTCACAAGCAAAGGAGGACATGCAAATGAAGGTTCCTAGAAGATTAAGACATGTGGACGAGGTTTTAGACATATGCAGGCTAGGAAATTAAGAGAATTATCTTGTTAGGCATGTATCTAAAGGGCAGTGGCCCCACAGACAACTATGCTACATATATTATTTTTGAAATCCAGCTATCTGCTTTCTCTGCACCCTCCTCTCCCATCTCTAAAAGCTTTCTGTCTTTAAGTATAATTGTTTAAAGGACTGGGAAACATACCTATGCATTAAAAATATTAACAGGGGCTGAATGCAGTGGCTCACACCTGTAATCCCAGCACTTTGAGAGGCCGAGGCGGGTGGATCACTTGAGGTCAGGTGTTTGAGACAGGCCTGACCAACATGGTGAAATCCCATCTCTACTAAAAAACAAAAATTAGCCAGGCATGGGGGCTGATGCCTCTAATCCCAGCTACCCAGGAGGCTGAGGCAGGAGAATCGCTTGAACTTGGGAGGCAGAGGTTAAAATGAGCCAAGATCACACCACTGCACACCAGCATAGGCGACAGAGTGAGATTCTATCTCAAAAAATAATAATAATATGTGTGTGTGTGTATGTGTAACAGAAATATTATGTACTATTAATCCCTTGGGCTAAATGCTTCTCTATGGCAGGGTCCACTAGAAATGCAAACAAAAGAAGCTGTGAAATCTAACTTTTCATAAAAATCTGAAATCTGCCAGACCCTGTGGCTCACGTCTGTAGTCTCAGCTACTCGGGAACCCAACTACCGGGAACACTTGAGCCCAGCAGGTCAAGGTTGCAATAAACTATGATCACACCACTGCACTTCAGCCTGGACCACAAAGTAAGTGAGAACCAGTCTCCTAAATACATAAATAAATAAATATAAATCTGAATTCTCAGAAAAATATCCACCAATACATTCAACAAATAGCAAAATGATTATCTCAGTTTTGTCTACCTTTATATAACTTACTTAATCTTAAAAAGCTGGCAGCCAAAGAATAGGGAAGAAAAGGGCATGAGTGGATAGTCCATCTGAGAACTTAAGAACTGCATGCTTATAAAATAACACACAAAACAAGGATCACTACTTTTCTGAAATTTACATTCCATGCATTTGAGGTATATAAGCTTTCAGATAGGGTTCAACAAGAATTGAGGAGAGTGAGCTGGGCATCTTAAGTAACTCCTGTGACCATCAGAGTCTTCCAATATGGACAGTCAGCCCAAAACTCAGACAACTTAACTTAGACGCAAAGCTGTAATTATTACAGAAAACTGAATTATAATTATCCTGGCATTCACCCACAAAAACATTCCTCCAATCCATTCTTAAAATTGAAAACAGGCCGGGGTCTCTAAGCATATCTAGGGCCCATCTTGGTATGCTAGTTTCATTTCAGCTAAATTTGCATTTATTCCTTAATCACAGTGCCGAACTAGTTCTTTAGAAGAGGAAACAAATTAATTCTGAGCTCTTGAGGAAATACCCTGGTAGATTTCTTATTTCTTACAGATAACAAAGCTGTAGTCAACTAAAATCAAATAAGCATAGTATCCATTTTATGTGAATGGTACAATTCAACCAGTAAAAGCACAATTCTATCATTGAAAAACAGACACAGACACAGATACATACACACACCACACACACACAGACACACACACACACACAGGGAGCTAAGGAGAGAGAGAAAGAGAGTCCTGTGTCTTTTATTTTCCAAGATAAAAGCCAAGGTTCTGAATTTTTTTTTTTTTTTTTTACCACATGGTGAAATAATTGAGGGCATACCCAAGATGCCAGAACTCTAGTCTAGGTGCACATGCCCAGAAGGGATAGCTGAGGTCTATATAAAGCTTTTTAAAATGACATTCCATTTTCAAAATGATTAAAAAATAAACTATAAACTTAATGTTTGAATGTAGTGAAGACCTACCTAGTGATGGGATTTGGAATTACACTAGAGAAAATTTCAACTAAGAAATGCTTTCCCCATGTACATCAAAAGCTGAAGGCTAGGTCAGGCATGGTGGCACTCTCCAGCACTTTGGGATGCTGAGGTGGGTGGATCACTTGAGATCAGGAGTTGGAGGCCAGCCTGGCCAACATGGTATAACCCCATATCTACTAAAAATACAAAAAGTCGCCAGGCACGTTGGCACATGCCTGTAGTCCCAGCTACTCAGGAGGCTGAAGCAGAAGAATCGCTTGAACCTGTGAGGCAGAGGTTGCAGTGAGCTGAGATTGTGCCACTGCACTCCCACCTAAGAGACAGAGCAAGACTCCGTCTCAAAATAAATAAATAAATAAATAAATAAAAGACTGAAGGCCAGACTTCCATTATTTGAGATAATTTCACATAGATTCCAACATCTGTTAAAATACCCTTGAGAAAGACCTCTATTATCACTGACAAGTACAAATGTAGTTGCTCAGACCCCTGACCTAGGAGCAAGTTTGATGGAGACCCTTGGAGTAGAGTTGATGAAGGGAATTGAAATCACATTTTCTTGTCAAAGGTAGCAGGATCTGAAAGAATATTCAACGAGGAGGCAGGGGACCATAGTTGGAATCTATCTGCCCAATCTAGGTATGAGATTTCTTATCTGAAAAACAAGACGATGAAATCTGATGATCTCTAGCCAATTTAAAAATGTAATGACTTCAGTGAAATGAAGCAGGTTAGGTTCAAAGCATAGAGTCAGTCACAAAGAGCTAGGAAGTGGGGAAGCAAAATGTCATTAATGATGGTCATAAAACCAGTGGTAGAGGCAAAGGAGAAGAACTGGAGAAATAGCTCCACAACTGTAATTACATCTAAAGATTAACTCAGTGTGTTGAAAAGCAGTTCTACAGTGAAATCATGGGAATGCCTCAGGAAAGGGCCCATGAATATAAACAGAGAGGGAAGAATCCTAGGTTCATATTAGGTCAGTGCTTTCCTCAAAATCTGATTTTAAAAAATGGAAAAGAAACTAGTTTTGCTTAAGGAAATAACGTCTTAAAGCTAAAAGAATGCTTACCAGGGTTGATGAATTTCCTGGTAAATGAAAAATGCTGACTGTTTTGTTTTCTCCCAAGAGCACTAGCATTGAAATGACTCCAGCAAAATTCACTCACTCATTCCACAGATATATCTACAGTACATAACATGTGCTTCCACTGATTGTGAGAAGACACATAATGATTAGAAAGTGGCCTCTACGCTTAAGCACTTGCAGTAGAGTACAGAAGATATGGCAGAGACATTAATACAACAACACACAGTGTAACTAGACCAAGCAAAGGTTAGGGATTAGAAGAAGAGCTAGGTTTTGTTTCAAATTTTATTTTTGAAAGATCACAGTTACTTCACATATCCATTTACACTAGCCAAAGTCAAGAATTTCTAAGGACAAGTTTAGACACTTAATAAAGAACAGCAGCTCCTGAGCCATCTGCTTTGTTCCAAAAATGAAGAACCATCACACGCAAATTTTCATTTTACTTCAATCCTGTGAGAATATTATTGTCAGATGGGGTAGGTAACATTTGTTTTATAACTGACATGGTTAACAAATCATGCTTTATAAAATGGCTATAGTCAGTGCCTCTTTTGGGTGGAAAAAAAAAAAAGAAAACTATCATATGAGCCCAAAAGTCACTCACTTTCAGCGAGTTCCTTTGATCCATTTAAGGGTCCTGTTACTGACAGAACTTAAAGGGAACAACAAAACCTTGTTATAGGCAGACACAGATATGTTACAAAAAAAGCTAAAGGATTTTTGCATATAAAGGAATCATTTTCTAAAAGCACGTCATATACAACTACAAATTACAACAGCCCAACCTTAGACTGCCGTAGCCTTACCTGGTAAGGAACAATACTTCCATGAGCTGTACCCCAACGTTTTGCTTCCTTTTGACCAATAAGATAATTTGCAGCTATGTGGGACAAACACGCCACCTACCAGGAAAAAAAGTAAATAAATAAAGTAGAACAGCTGGTTTATCTATACTCATAAACAGAATGTTATGTTATGAAAGTGATTTCACTTCATGTCATTGTAGAAGAAAAAAAACTGTCCATCAAGTTAGAAAACATTCAGGCACTTGTACTTTTATCACACAAATGAAGAATGGTGTTACATTACTGCATGAGACTAAGTAATAGTCAATTGAGAAATATAAACACATAAACATTCAACCCTTAAAAAGATTATCTGAAAGCAGAGGTTAACCAAGCAGATGGAACCATGGTCCAGCCTTTATCATCAAACCCACAGCAATACACATCAGCGACTCATACATTTTTCCCCGCTACATGTATCTCCTTTTATTTTGCACCAAGATAACACCAAAAGAGCCTGTGTTATCACTGAGTAGATAGATGAACCAAAGCCAGGAGCCACATTTCTCTAAATTTCTGATGGCATAAAAAAGTAATAATAATAACCCTCCATTTATTTAAGTCAATTTAGCCAGGTCTTGTGTTACTTGTGGCCCAAAGTATTCTGACACAAAAGATCAAGATTATTTGACTTTTTTAAATTAATTAGCAGATCATCCTCATTTAAAGAAACATTACCATACCTCTCCCAATTTGCTCCTAGCCCCATACTCTCATTGTCATACTCAATTCTGTTTTTGAGAACTGCATATCTGTTAAAGGGGTCATCTAAAACCTTAGAGTAAGTTTCTGACTATTGCAGTATTTCATGGACAGATCTCGACAAATCTACAATAGCTCAACTCAATATGACAATAATATGAGGATAATGAATTGCTTACTGGCAATCTGCCACAAATATCTTACGTTCCAATGAATACTTATGATTCCACCACTGCAGAACTATGGAAAGGAAGTAATCAAATGATTTTCCGTGAATTCCACAAAAGAATAAAAAGTGGTTCTGGCCACATTACATAATCATGACATAGCATCAGCTTTCTTTTCCCTTTCTAGATCATCAGATGTGATTGGAAAATCCACCAAGCCGGTCATTAAAACATAGCCCAAATTGAGATCGGCCCCTGGAACAACTCAGGCCTCTTCTTGCCCCCTACCTCGCACAGCAGCTGTGCTTCCTACAGGAAATATCAATTGGATTCAGCCTGGATGCATCTCCTTGCTGCCACAGCCATTCTCTTTTACTTTATTTTTGGGACTTAAACTCACTTTTACGTTCATTTACTACTCTGTCAAAATTGGAACTGCCTTGTGGCAGCTGGTTTGGCTGTACAGCCCAGGTGGCAAAACTAATAAACTTTGAGTCATCCACTTCTGGACTTCCATCTGGTCTTGGGCATTTGAACCATGGAGCATTCCAAGGCTGCCTGGGGCCACCTAGTGCTAATCACCATTTCACAGATCACTTCTGTGTCTTTCAAAATGGAAAATCAAATCAACATTTTGTAGCAAAAATGCCCTGGATAGGAAGTTCAGACATGGCCGGTTGAAACCTGGATGGTTTCTAATCTCTGTCAACCTCTAAATAGTTCCATGACTGTGGGTATATAAACTACCTTCTTTGATCTTCTGATACATTCTCTATAAAGTCTTGGCATTTGAGCTAAACCAAAGGTTTTCAAATTTTTTTAAAAAAACAAAACTGTATCCAACCAATAATACATGAAATCCTAATATATAAATATGTAAGCAGAGAACAGCTCAAGTGCTCTGGATGAAGCAGAAGCAGTCCTGCAACACCGCCCCCGGGAGCATGAACACGGAACACAATCTGCAAAATAGTAAGTAATCTTCAACATGCTAACAAGGCAAATTTGGTATACACTTCAGACTCTATTATTCCTCTTAACAATCTGGCAGATAAAAAGACACAAGGTACTGGGTATGGTGACTCATGCCTGTAATCCCAGCACTTTGGGAGACCCAGGCAGATGGATTACCTGAGGTCAGGAGTTCAAGACCAGCCTGACCAACATGAGGAAACCCTGTCTCTACTAAAAATACAAAATTAGCTGGTCATGGTGGCACATGCCTGTAATCTCAGCTACTCTGGAGGTTGAAGCAGGAGAATCACTTGAACCCAGGAGGCAGAGGTTGCGGTGAGCCGAGATTGCACCATTGCATTCCAGCCTGGGCAACAAGAGCGAAACTTCATCTCCAAAGGAAAAAGAAAAGATACAAGGGATGCAATAGCAGTAATTTTCTCAAGACACTCCTTCCTGAAATTGGAGACACTTTCTGAATTCTGAGACCTCTTCTCAGATCTAGCTATGTTGTTGTTCTTTTTATGTATTTTTTCATTCAAATAAATCATGATGAATGTCACTCTCTAATGGGCTCTGCGGCTACTGAAGGCCAACAAGCAAATTAGTAAAGGTTATTCTGTGCAGTAGTCAATCACAAAAGGCTTGTTATTTCTTCTTCTCTAATTTCAAAGTCAACAAATCAACATCATCAAGGGCTGCATGAGATTATCACAGGCCAACTTATAAATCCTAAATTGATCTAAGAGAGTTGGTAGGAATAGGGAAGGACTGGATTCTTGGCTGGATATCAGCTTGGCTGCCTCATTCCCTACACATTATCTTATTCTTTCTTTTTAATTTTTGACTTCTGTGTTTCTGACCCTGCCCCATTTATAATGTGTTTGAATGAAGAGTCAGAACACATCTCTCAATCTGTTTGCAAGTAAAATACTGTATACATTTCCTTCATACAGTGGTAGTTAATGAAATCAAAAAGAATTTCAGAATTAGCAAGCTCATACTGGGCAGAAGGATTAAACAAAATTTTAAGCCAACTGACATGAAAAAACAAAGTGTGGGCCAGGCATGGCAGCTCATGTCTGTAATCCTAGCACTTTGGGAGACTGAGGCAGGTAGCTCACTTGAGCCCAGGAGTTCAAGACCCACCTGGGCAACACAACAAAACCCCATCTCTACTAAGAATATGAAACAAACAAACAAACAAAACAGGTGGGAGGATCACCTGAGCCTGGGAAGGTCAAGGCTGCAGTGAACTGAGATCACTGCACTCTAGCCTCACCAACGGAGTCTCAAAAAAAATAAAAACAAAAAACAACAAAGTATGATTTGTCAGTAACAACTCAAAGGCAAAGATGGGGCAAAAAATCTATTTTTTAAAAAAGAGAGCAACATGGCTAAACTTAGCAAATCATGTTTAAAGGGAGTATTACAAATCTGAATGTAATCTACTATTTATAGGGATGTATTTTAAGGCAGGAGAAGGGAAATAAAGTCAATAGCTATGATGTGATTATGAAAAAAATCAGAGGTTTCCTGGGCAATTAATGACAAATTTTGCACCAATTAAAAGAATGCAGGATGTGACTTTTTGGTTAATAACTACATACTGTATACCCATTCTAAATACTGCATTAGATCATTACTTTCATTCCCTGAAGTTAGGCTTATTATTTCATCAAATGGACGCTATATAATTTACTCAGAATATTGCTTTTTTATGGTTTCATCTAAACAAAAAAGCCAACTTTGGTTTAATAATAATCATTCTGACAGCAAAACTACTATTTTAGATAACAGAGTGGGTCCTGATATTCTTTGTTTCTAACCAGAAAACCAATGGGGTGGTCAAAATGGATCTCAAAAAGTACAGCCTCCAAAGGCTTGAGGAAGAATATGCCCAATTATTTCCCAAAGCAGTCCCATGGTATCTGTCACCATATGTTCCACTTCCACCGAATAAGGATCCAGTTGCAATAGTACAATCTTTCATCTCCAAAAGGACAACCAAGTGTGACAGGTAAAATGAGAAAAACGGGACTAGAACCATGGTCCACGGCACCAAAACAGGTCATTTTCCCCCCATTCCCTTGTATATCTTCTGGCCTTCAACTAAGTTGAACTGAACACCAACAATGCAATCATCCATCTGCCCACATTTCCACCTATTCCTCAAAGTCTATGTCAACATCATCATTTCCAGTAAGTGCCAACTTCAGCCAGCAAGCAAGAGGTTATATTCCCTGCCCTGAATGAATAAAACATTTAATTTATCTGACTTCTGCTGCACATTGACAGTCATCCTTGTACTACAATTAGAAATGTAAGATGTCAAAGCTAGAAGGAGCTAGGTCACTATCCCAATCACCTGTGAAATTCCTAGAACCCATCGCATACCAAATGAATCAAGTTCTTCAGAGATGGAAACTTGGAAAAGAATAATTTAACCAATGTAGTATTAAAGTACAGAGAGCAATGATGTGCTCTTTGTAGCACATCAGAGTTGAGAACCAAAGCCTTATGAGAGTCTAGTCAAACTCCTTAATATACAAATGGATAAATAAAGAAATATAGAATAAAAATAACTTGTCTGGGCACAGTGGCTCATGCCTGTAATCCCAGCACTTTGGAAGGCTGAGGCAGGCAGATCACAAGGTTAGGAGTTTGAGACCAGCCTGACCAACATGGTGAAACCCCATTTCTACTAAAAATACAAAAATTAGCCGGGTATGCTGGTAAGTGCCTATAATCCCAGTTACTCAGGAGGCTGAAGCAGGAGAATTGCTTGAACCCGGGAGGTGGAGGTTACAGCGATCCAAGATTGTGCCACTGCACTCCAGCCTGGGCAACAGAGTGAGACCCTGTCTCAAAAAAAAAAGAAGAAGAAAGAAAGAAAGGGGGGGAGGGGAGGGGAGGGGAGGGAGAAAGGAAGGAAGTGAGGGAGGAAGGAAGAAAGGAAGAGAAAGAAGGGAAGAAAAGAAAGAAAGAGAAAATAAAAATAACTTATATGAGGACACACAGTAACAGAACTTTAAACTATTACAACAACTGTGCCTTCCTCCAATATTATTTATATTTTCTCCTATCCCTTCTTTTAAATTAGGAGCTATTTCAAGGTAAAACTTACGTATTTTTAACCCTTTGTATGTTTCTATAGCACTTAACACAGATCCTGAACACTGCTGTTTAACAAATGAATGAAAATGAAAATGGTAACTACTTGTTTAATTATTC